TATATATATATATATATATATATATATATATAACTATTATATAAAAAAAATTTGTATTGATAAATAGAAGAGCAGTTGTAATTATTTTGTAATTCATATAATAGACAAAATATAATTAATTCATTAGAAGAAAGGTATTACTAGTATAATGAGATATGGGGTGTCGTGAGGGCTTTATGCCTTATATATGGCTGAACTGTTAGAATATTAGAGAAGAAAGTTAAGATCATGAGTTGAGTGCTGGATCCTTGACTTCATTAGAGACTTCTGTTTTTTATTTATTTACAAGTAACTTCATTAGAGACTTCTAAGAAACTATAGACCTCAATTAAGTCTAAATAAACCTGGAAAAAGATGAAGTCAACCAAAATTTGAGTTAATCCTACATTTTTGACACCTAAAACAAGGAAAAAATGTAAATATTCAAAACTTTATATAAACTTTCTTTTGCTCAAATTTCGCAACAACCAAACAGAACAAAAGGGAAGATATCAAACTACAGTCGTTATTTGGCCACAAATGACCGACCACCATGTGCTCCCATGTGCAACTATTAAAGACAGATTGAAGTTACACATCACACTTCTAATTATAATTAAAAAAATTATAATTAGGGCGACATCCAGTAAGTTTGATTAATAACAGAGTACAATTACAGAAATTAATGAATTTTTTGTAATTATTTCAATAAATAGAGTCCAAGAATTCTTATGTTTTTTTAAAAAAATAGATGCTTATTCTAATCATTAATTCTCAAATCTGGTCAACAGTATTGAACAAAATACTTGTACGATAGTTTAAAAATAAAAAATAAAAAATAAAAAAATACTTTTAAGTGCAACATTTTAAAGTGTTGTAATGCATAAGATGGTCCACAAACGTCTTGCATGTGAGCGTGTGCGTGAGGCTAAAACAACACACATGATTTGCTTAACAGAAACCGAGAGGCTTTACTTTCCACCTGAGCTCAGTGATGACGAACTTCACCAATGTTCAGGTGACGCGTGTCCTATGAAGTTATTAAAGTCACCCAAAAAATCCTGTTGCCCCACGCTCAAAACATGTGTGCTGTCTAACTTAAATGGGTCCAATAGCCAGTTGACTTACGAAACTACCCATTTGCGCGTAAATTGTGGGCCCGAGGCCGCTGCTATGGCCCATAGTTGCCACCGACCATACTCTTGTAATATACGGAGTAATTTTTATTTATTTATTATTATTAGTTTTTATATTTATATACATACTCATAAACTAATCACAATTTACAAATGACTATCCTTGAATCCTCACTTGTGAAGGAGATACCGCCCGGACCAATAGGTTCGTAAGTGTTCATATATAATTTCCATTTAAGATAAAGTTATAGCATTTTTTTAAAAATTTTTTTTATAGGAAGAGTTTTAAACTTATAGTGGCCCTTTCTACATTTAAGATAAAGTTATAGCATTTTTTTTAAAATTTTTTTTATAGGAAGAGTTTTAAACTTATAGTGGCCCTTTCTAGAAAAAATAATCTTATTTTCATCTCTTATTTTACGAATAGAAGCTTAGTTTGTAAGAAAAGGAAAAATTGTAAGACATGTATAGAGTATTTAACCTCCAAACATTAAACTATAAAAAAAAGTTCGCAATCATTTAACACTTGTATAAGGATTTTCGTCAATTGACCATTAATGAAATAATAAAAATATTAAAATGTCCTCCTTACAATTATAAAAAAGTAAAATTCAGTTAATGTAAAATTATTATTATATCATTTATTTTTGAGATTTATATAGAAAAAGAAAAGATGTTTTAGGAATCAATAAAGGATAATTTTGATATTTATTAAATTTAACTAGTCATATGCCAAACATATATTTTTTTAACGATGCATTTTTAATGGTAACAGCCTAAAAGTTCTTCTTTATAACATTTTTAAATTATTGAGGGAGTTATATACCAAAAATAAGAGAGAGAAGTGTTATTTGCTCAAAAATTAAATTTTAAAGGTCTTTTAAATGCTTAGCCCTAGAAAAAAAAAAAAAAAAAAAAAAAATCTTAAACTTATTTCTTAGGTCAATTTGTCTAAACTACAAGTTTTTTTGGGTCTTATAAGATCAGTTTGGTTGGAGAGTAATGAAATGAAAAGAAAGGAAAGGCGATGCAATGAAATTTTTTTTCTCTCCTGTTATTTTTTTTAATCTTTTTCACTACACCAAACAATGTTAATGAATGAGACTCCTTTGTTAAAAAAATATATATATACTCATATATATCAAGAGATCGGTGGGGGCACGTGCTTGTTGGTCATTATAATACCTCAAAAAAAAAAAAATTATAAATCTAAACTCTAATATCTACTCCTCCATAAGCCCACAGGAAAAGCATGTCCAAAACCGCCTAACAGCAAAAACCACCATACAAAAATATCCGAAACAAGGGCATCATAGTGCAACCTTATCCACAACTATAAGCAATCCACTCTTCCTATAAATATCCTTCCGTAGGTAGTCTTGTCCATCACAACAAATTATTCCACCACCAAGAATTGTAGAGAGAGAAAGTGAGAATGGCTGATATTGCTATGTTGGTTGCAGAGGAGTATGAGAGGAGGGTCAAGAACTCAGGGGAAGCAATTGACATGTTCTCTTTTGTTTCCGGGTTTGCCCAAAGGGTTGATGCGTTCAAGATGAAATTTGGGGAAGAGAAGATTGACCAGGTCAAGTGGGTTTTGGAGCCCAAAAGCCAGATGGGTCTCGCAGCCATTAATGGGTTCTTCTCTGCTTGAAAATTTACTATCTGTGTTTTATCAAGTCTCTTCAAGTCTCTGTTTTAAGATTTTAGATTGTATATAAATGTGTATATTGGACAAAAAGAAGGTGATTTGTGTCCAATTGTTTTTATTTTATTTTTAATTCGGTAGTCAATGAATGAAAATATCTTAAATTTTGCTAATTTATAATCTTAGTTCTTCGCTTGATTTAGATTTCTGGTCAAATATGAATTTGGCTGCAAAAGAAGGATTCATGACAATGAATAGAATGGTGTGAAAGAGATTGGTTAGATACTTAGATGCAGCAAAATTTTGTTTATATAGTACTTTTTTTTCCCACCCACATAGAGCTATAAATGTGTCACAATTCTATCGGGGAAGTGTTTAAATATGTCACAATTCTACGGTTTCTACCTATATCTATAAATTGTTTATAGATAGGTTTAAAGCATTTTTAGTCTATATTTAGTAAAAGAACTCTGCGATTTTGGTCTACTTAGTTTTAAGGCCTATTTTGGTTCCTATGGAGGAATGAGAATGGAATGATAATCAGTGAAAGGCAGTGGTGGGTTCCATGGTTTAAATGTGAAATGAATTTTTTCCTAAGGAATTGTCATTGTCACTTTAAATGCCATAACAAATAAAGTAATAATTAAAATGAGTAGGACATTAATTCTATTATATTCAATTGCGGGCACCAAATTACAAGTTGTTCATGTATAAATCTAGAAATTAAATCTCTCAAAACTATATATCAAAATGAATGAAGGAGGAAAAAAAAACAGTGTAACGGTGTTCTTTGAAGGGTAAAAGGTGAGGTCTTCAATGTCCTCATCCTATTTGTCCTACTGATTCCTAACTCTCTGATAATAAATAATAAAAAAAACTCCAAACAAACCATTTAATAAAAAGTGACTATCATGCCCTCACTTTAATTCCAAATTTTCTTCTTCACTGCCATCTATTCTCCAATCATTTCTCTATTCCTTAGCATATGCTAAGGTTTCTGCTAGATGTGATCACATCACAAAAATTTACATTGTATAAATGGGTTTTATATGAAGCTGGTTTCACATTAATTCTCATTTGCTATTGTTTGAAATAATTTTGTAATTAATTAATAAGAATCATATTAATGCTAATTAAAAGCAAACGATTTTCAGATTCAATATATATATATATATATATATATAGACACACACACACAGTATATTGTACTAATGAAAGGATTTTAATAAACTTAACTCAGTACTCAAAATTCAGTTAGTACTAAACAAATTTATACATATATAAATCAAGTACTTATAAAATTAAACTCATAAAAACTTTCAAAACTTAATTTGTATATAGTTGTATGAAATATGAACCCCCAACAAAGATCAAATTTAAAGTCACTTTTCTATGCCAGATTGCCAGCCAATCTCAATTGATTGATAAAAATATATATTAGGTTTTGTGTGGGTACATGAGAGAGAAAAGAAAAGAAAATGATAATATTAATTATGAGAGAAATGAAAAGAAATGAAAGCATTAATATTTATTTATATTTGAATAGATAGAAAAGAAATGAAATGAAATAAAATGAAATGTCCGTGTTCTTATTTGAATATAATAGAGGGAAAAAAAGAAGGTCATTTTAAATAGAAAGAATATGAGTGAAATAATAAATTATTATTTTTAATTATTGAGGATATTTTTAGAATTATAAAAATACTATTTAAAAGCTAACCTTTCTCTTCTTATCTTCTCATTTTTTAAGGAATAGAAAGAAAATAAGGAATAAGGAGGATAGTTATCATTCTCTATCTCCCCCATCCTTTTTCTTAATCTCATTTTAAACTATTGACACTTAGCCCTATTCTTTTTTTTCCTTTTCTTTCCCTATCCCTCCAAATTATCCCATCCAAACACATTCTTAAAGATTGGGCAAAAATATAAAGTGACACTAGATATTATAACAATTAACAAAACCATTAATAAAGAAATTCCAACATTATATATGGTAAAAGCATTAGGTACGTAATTAACTAGATTGTAAACCATGAAACTGCATATTTACGTGAGTTCCACAATTCCAGGGTCCGAAGACCCAGCCCTGCCCTCAAATTGTCAAGCAAAATTTCAGGGTTCGTAGATCCAGCCATACCTCCAACCAACTCTCAACTCAACAACCAACCCTACTATCTCTCTCTCTCTCTCTCTCTCTCTCTCTCTCTCTCTCTCTCTCATTGCTGGTTCTGAGAAGGTCCAGTAATGGGGGAGGCACAACCCAGCAGCAGCACCACACCGCCACCATCTCCAAGGCCTCCTTCATCGTCACCACCACCAGCCCACACTACCTCCCTTATCCAGCCCCCCAACAAGAAGAAAAACAGACCCAACAAAGTGTTCCGAGTCTTCCGATCCGTTTTCCGGTCCTTCCCCATCATCACCCCCGCCTGCAGGCTCCCCTCCCACGCGGGCGGTTTATTCCCGGAGTCCAACCACCGGAGCAGCGGCACCCGAATCACCGGAACCCTCTTCGGGTACCGAAAAGGCCGTGTCAGCCTGTCCATTCAGGAAAACCCTAAATGTTTTCCCACATTGGTCTTGGAACTTGCCATGCAAACAAACGCATTGCAAAAGGAGATGAGTATGGGGATGGTGAGAATAGCGTTGGAATGCGAAAAGAGGGCCGACAAAGACAAGACCAAGCTGGTGGAGGAGCCGTTGTGGACCATGTTTTGTAACGGGAAGAAGAGTGGGTATGGTGTGAAGAGGGAGGCATCCGAGGAGGACTTGCACATCATGGAGCTGCTCAGGGCGGTGTCCATGGGAGCCGGAGTGCTGCCGGGGCAGTCGGAGGTGGAGGGACCGGACGGGGAGCTGGCCTACATGCGAGCCTATTTCGAACGGGTGGTGGGTTCGAAGGACTCGGAGACACTGTACATGTTGAGCCCTGATGGGAACAATGGACCTGAACTCAGTATTTTCTTTGTAAGGATATGATGTTTTTTCTCTTTGGGTATTGTTGTAATATTGGTTGATTCACTTGGCTTCATTGGTAATTGAACAGGTGAGTAGTGTTTCTAGCTAGGTAGACATCCATGTACAACCATTTTTGCACTTCCATGCACCATTGAGGTGTACGTACTAAGGGAGGTATAGTGAATTGATTGTGTGTGTGTGTTTGGTTCTCTTAATATGAAGATTATTTGGACTTCCCAAGTTTTACATTTCCATGTACATTACTACAAGGAATATATATAAGAGACAAATATTATAAGGAATTTAATTATCCATTCGCACATCAGAATATCAATCAGGATGATTTTGGGGGACCACATTTCTCTAAATTGCGTTTAACAACCAAAAAGATTAGATATAAAAGCGTGCAAGAGCGTTCAATGATGACTAATTGTGCATGTTTCTGCTAAATGTTGGAAGTGACCACATTCATAAAATTTAATCTTGTATTATGTCTCCATGAAGAACTCTAATAACGAGTACTATATATATATACACCAAGGAAACATATAAAAACTAAAATATGCTAGTGTCAGAATTATTATATTAGACCACTTACCGAATATATATAGATATATAGAATATATATATATAGTGTCAGAATTATTATATTAGACCACTTACCGAATATATATATATATATAGAAATATAATAATTCTGACACTAGCATATTTTAGTTTTTATATGTTTCCTTGGGATCACATTCATTTTCTAATTTGGACTGCTTTATGATGATCCTCTACCGGATTTGATCATTTTATTTGAATATTAGATAAAAGGTGCAGCAGATTAGTGTACCATGTAAACGACATCTCTAACTTTCATAATCCAAGAGCCCACACTCATCTCTGACTTTACGAGGCCATATCACAACTTGTACACACACATATATATAGACTATTTGTCTCCTACTAGTAGGCTAGTAGACTAGTAGTTTCTTTTGATGAGTAGAAGTCTTTAAAGGAACCCAACAGTGAATGCTTTATCTAATATTAGATAAAAAAATGCTTTGTCTGCGTTTAAAATTATCAAATATTTATTTTTACAAATATATATATATATATAATCAAGTTAATTTTTTAAAAAAAATTTCAAAGATATCCATGAAAAGATGCTTTAATACTTTTCAATCTAAACAAATTATGGACATCCAAATTGAAACAATTGCTTCGGGCACGCATGATTCACCAAAAGTAATCTCAGAGACTCAGAGCAATTGTGTGTCATGAGATTTTTAAGTTCACACATTTCAAATATGAAAAATTACGGATGATATTATCATGTTGCTCGCATTAGGAAAGTTTTGTCATAAATTATTTATCGGGCTTAAAATCTTTAAAATAATTCGTACGAGGTAGTTTAAGACAAAGCTTGGTTGTGAACTATTTCGATCTCCCATTTTTGCATCACATTTTTTACTTCCTAATAAAAGAAGGAAAAATTGCTCGTCAGTCAGACAAAATTCTGTCCGGATAGCTGCGTTCCACTACTAATAAACATTTCATTGAGTTCATAATTCCAGTAATACTTGTTTTTTTTTTTTTTTAAAGAATTGCCCTTTCTTATAGAAATAGTTTTAATGTCATTTTATTATTATTATTATTTATTATTTATAAAATCAAATTCAAAGAAAAATTCATACTATATATCTTGATAAACTTTTTTTATATGACAATCTTAAATTACATAATTTGGTCAGTGTCAATGAAATTGATCCTAAATTAAAATTCAATTACAAGACCTCATATTGGTCCAAACTATCTATAAAATACTTATATTATTATTTTTATTTATAAATGGTGAAATTTAAATAAATTTGTTAAAAATTCTAACAAAATTGATACGTGCCTTTTCAATCATTATTTTTATTTTTAATTTATTTTTGAATGGTAAAATAAGAATATACACTTTTGTCTACGTGGACTTGAATCCTTCCTCTTCTCCGAATGAAGAAATTATAGGCACCGACCTTTTAATGCATTTTCAACTCTTATTGTAGCTAATGGTAAAGGTTGTAGTTATTATTTCAATTAAAAATGATTATTAAAAATAAGAAGTTGCGAAATTCTGACTTAGATCGAGGCCTTCAGTCACGCCCGGTAGTTTTTTGCCACTAACTTTTTAACCAAACGCGATCATCATTTATGCAAATTAACGGTTCTTCTCATACATAGAATTATTATTACGATGTTATTGTTAGTAGGGTAAAAACTAAACTGATACACTCTAACTCAATTTATACTATTTAATAAATTGAACAATTAAATGTATTTAACCATCCACATTAACCTCATCCATACGTAATTTCTTCATATATCAGAGTGCCTGCTTAACAATTTACAATAATAATAAAAAAAAAACTATAAATCCATCAATTAAATCGTTAATTACAAGTCACAATATTCAATTCTACTATAATATTTACATTTTATACAAAAGACATTCCATTATTGTTTTCTCCATTTACACTCCAGACTCTAGACCTGGCAGTAACTATCCACCCTTGTACCTACAAAATTATAGATATAGAAGGAGTGAGCTTAAAACCCAGTGAATGTAACACTACTACATCAGAGTAATATAAACAAATATTATCTGATAACTTCAATTAAACTTCATTAACAAATATAACTTCCAGCTTTAGAGACATTAAAATATAGTACTCTCATTTTAAGCCAGAGTATGAACCTTATATAATATAATACTCTCCTTCTTGGCCAGAGTATGGACCTTATTTAAAATAGTACTCTCTTTCTAGGTCAGAGTATGAACCACATATAATATAGTATTCTCCTTCTTGGTCAGAGTATGGACTTTATTTAATATATTACTCTCCTTCTTGGCCAGAGTACAGACCTTATTTAATATATATAAGCATTTTCACATCAAAATAATATCTTCGATACTTCAACATACCCATTCAAGTATAAACTTCCAGTGAGTACACTCACCTTTACTACTTTTTAAATTATTTATTTTTCCTTCGGCACTGTCGATGCGGTGCGTTCAATCTCCTTGTCTGAACAATATTATAATCAAGTTATTTTCATTTCTAAATATAATTAAATAATAATTATCACCCATTATATTAAATCCCGCACTTTACACATAATTGTAACTACACTTCTAACCACAAATCTTTAATTACTAATTTCATAATTTCAATAAACTAATCATGGTATCAATTCACGTAAAGCAGCCTTTGATTCAAGTCAAAAACTATAAATAGATGGTATCTATGCTGCAACAGTTAATTGAATTAACTACTAAAAGATTAAATAACAAACTTTCAATATATAATTTAAATATACAACCCCTTATCTATCCTTGAATTCACTAACACTTTAGAGAGGAAAAATCCTTCTCTTTTTATACTCCTTTTCTTCTTACACTTCATTTTTCCTTTGTTCTCTCTCTTTTCTCCTTCTATGGCTGAAATACCCTCTCTGTTTCTATTTATTTTTTTCTTCCTTTTCAATCTCAGTATATCTCTTGTTTAACACTATTCAACTCACACATGCATAGGTGTATTGTGTGTGTAGGGTGCTGGCCGCAACACATACGTGCACGTATACACGCACCACTGCCTTATACTAAGCTTCCGTGCAAGTAGCTTTAACAAACCAATGTTATCTTATTTGATATACAAGCAGCAGTCCTCAAATTAAAATCATGTATGTAACGTACCCAACATAAGTAATAATTGTTTAAGTGCTTTCTTGATGTGCTGAAATAGAATATAATTGTTAACATGAGATTCACATATAACCTCAGTGCTTGACGTAACATTAATTTAATTGGCAATGATTGTGCCCATTCATCAATGGTTTTGAGATGATCTTTGTAAGCTACATTCGTAAGATCAAGATAAGTGCCGTGTTGTGAAATCGGAAACTTATTGAGGTCATCCTTCCTGGTAAAGGTCAGATAGGTCATATAATCATAGTTATAGGAAGTGGCAGAAGCTGTAGGTTTAGGTTCTGCAGTTTGAGAAGTTTCGGCAGGTGTGCCGGAGGCAGGAATATGAGTTTCTTCGGCGGGATGCATTTCTTCGGTTGGAGGAAAGTCACCGTAAAAAGATTCATCGAGGATAGTGTCTGAAACACGTTTTCTTCGTTGAGAGGTAGATGGAAAAGGCTGTGGATCAGCTTGTATTTCCTCATCTATTGATTCTTCAGAGTCAGAGGATTGGTCAGAGAAAACATGTATTTGTTCTTCTGATTCTGTATCACAATCAGATAAATTAAAATTATATCCGAAATGTGTAAGGAGAGCTTCGTTTTGTGTAGAAGTTTCTCGGATCTGATTGATGATATGCGTACTTTCATCGATAGATAGTTGAGGATTAATGTACAATTCTTGTAGACAACTAAGATAATCTACAATGCTTTCGTATTCCGCTTTGTTGTAACTTGATGAGGGTTGCTCATTAAGTACTTTAATATCAACATTACCATAAAAAAGGGGTTTTACCTTATATATGGTACGGGTAGAAGTTGACCGTTTGTCGTCCTCTGTGTGGAAGGAAGGAGGAATAGATTGTTTATCTTTATCCTTATCTGGTGGATCATCAGGAGGGTAGAGATCAGATAACTTTGATTTTTTTTTAATTTTGCCAGATCTACAGTCATCTGATGAATCTGATCTTTTAGATCTTGAGTATCTTGATTTTCAGATAACGAGATAATCTATGTAAGAGTCTCAAGCTTATCATTTAAGGAAATCATTCCTTGTTGCAAATCATCAAATGAGGTTTCCATTTGAGAATTTGTAGAGTCAAGGTTAAGTTGAAATATGTATTTCCAATCATTAACAATGTCTATTAAGAAGTTCATTCCTGCTCTAATTTGGTTAAAATTGGATGGTTCTGAAGTGAAAAAGTGTGGAATCTGATTATAATTATTAGGGTCTTTTCCTACGATATTACAAAGACATCCTACAGAGGTAGTTTGTGCCATAAGAAACAGTTAAGGGTTCTTAAGACCTTTTGATTCCTGTTATGGTGCTTAAAACCGTGTGTTCCTGTGACAAAGCTTTTGAACAATTGTACAGACAAATAAGCTTAAACAAGGAGATATGGGCTTTAAACAGTAATAAAATAAATGAGATTTATAACAGTAATTAAAGCACAATACTAACACTGTAATAGTACT